GAAGTCCATGCTACAAGAGCTGTGAGAGGGATAAATAAATGAAGTTTACTGGTACAAGGTTATTTAGCCCAGAGTTGCAGGGCAGTGATACAAATTACATACTGTAAATGAGCTATAAAATGACAGAGGAAATTCACTATCAGCAAATGTAATCTAACACATACGAGAGAACATGGATCGAGGTGGGGGGGCAGCATTGCGAGCTACACTGCGACATGAAAGGTTTTTCTCATTCAAACTGTTATAGTTCAGGAGAGAGAGCTTGGAGGCATTGGGACTGCTAAGAGTAGAACAGCAAGTCTATTTCCAGTTGCTGTCGAGGAGAGAAGCTGTGTTGGGAATTACCGAGGTAGCAATAGCAAGGAATATAGAAAAGGAATTATTGTGCCTTTGGAGGAATCTCACCTTCCCACATCTTCAAGTGTGTCTGCTCTTTTGGTTGCCTCAAAGATACTGAAACTACAAAAAGCACATTACAGTGACATGTATGGTGAAACCTACAGAATGATTTATATATTGGGTGAAACTTAATTTAAGGTTTTTGTTTTGAGAGGAGGTGTCTGAGGGTACAAAAGGCATGTTATATGGAACTGTAGGTGAGACTTGGAGAAGGCAAAGAATATTTATTATTTCTTGTTTTACGGAAATAAAGGGATATAATTTCAGGCAGTTTTTGTGAAATAAGGAGAAAGAATGCTTTTTCTACAGAGACTATTATTGACCTGTGGCTGTTCTTGCCGTAGGGTGACATTGATATATCAAAGCATATATCTATTCAGACGGCAGTCAGAGTAAAGAGGTGGCAGCCCATCTATGGATCTGTCCTCCATAAATCAATGCTTATAGTCTTTGATTCAGAAAACCTCTAAGGGTCGGTTGCTACGTAGAAAGTATTTTGTCCTTGCTTTTTTTTCTTCAAAAACATGCTAGAAGATATACAAGTCTTTCATCTGGCTACTATGGTGGCTCTAACGTTCATCCTAACTGAATCAAAACTACACTCAGTTTGCCTTTGCTTTGTTCCCGTGTGTGCTACTTGGGCAAAGTAGACATAACTCTTCGTTTGGCACTTCTTCATCTCAGGCTGCATTTGTGGAAATGGAGTATTGATGGAATTGTCTAACTAGGTTTGAGTGTCACCTGTTTTGGTGGGATGAGTCGGTCTCAGGCTTGTGAGAATTCATAAAACACTATGATACAGTGTTGTCAGCTGGATTTTAGGTCAGAATACGAGGTTTCGGTGCTCTTTGCAGCAGTAACCTCCCTCAGCCCGTGAACTGTGTGCCAGCTGCCCCCATCACCTGCCCTGCTCCTTACATAAGGGAACGGGGGAAACGGAGCATGATTTCTGCTCTATCTTACCGTCAATAACAGCAGTTGCAAGCTGGCTCCTTGTGGTGTTTGTCAGAAGTCAAGATTTGCTGCATAAAAAACTTTTTTCCTCTTAAAACTAAAAATTAAAACAAAAGTGAGAGCATGCTGTCTCTGGGGGAGCCAGTGGAGAACCCACAAAATCTAGAAGAGTATCTGTTCCTGAGCAAAAGTCCCACTTGTTTGATGACAGATGATATGGATAGAGAAACTTGGTGAGAGCTAGACAACAACATTGAAAGGCAGCTAAACTTTGCAGCGTTGTTTTAGATTGTCTCTTAATCATAGATATGTAGTGTCTGGGAAATGAGGCTGTGCAGGACTTAAACACAATTTTTGCTTTCCCAGCTGCAAGTTCTGTGATACATGCTTATTAAAAAACACTTTTGTAGAAAGTCTTCCTTTCTAAATGCTGCAGTATAAACAAAACTAATACTGATAATAAAGTATTATTGTGGGAAAAATGAAAATTACTTAAGCATGTTAGCTGTGTATGATTCAGAGTTTTAACAACGGCTTGTAAACTGGGCTTTTTTCTGTAGCAGTGTATAGTTCTAGTACCTGGTAATTTTAGTACTTACAGGTGTCTTTCTCTCTAATAATAGCTCAGCTGCTGCTTCTGGAAAAAAATGTTGAAGCATCAGATTTCTTTTCTGATTCCTCAGTTTAGAAATTAAAGTGAGAGGCAGCTCAACCAACAGTCTGGTCTGCTGCGGTAACCTCCCGGGGAGGTGGTGGTGAGATAAGGAACGGTGGGCAACATCTTCGGTTGGATACAGATTACAGATGTAACTGTAAGACACGGGGAAAACCACCTTAAAGAGAGGCTAAACTTAGTAACTAGGAAAAAGCCATCTTCATTTTTCAGCATGATGTTTGTAAGACCTCAAGTAGATGATGCACACTTTTTTGGTGTTTTTGAAGAAAACCTGCATAGCAGTCTGTATGTGCAAACAAGCAGACCAAATTGGGGTGTACTCGGAGAGGTAGTTAATGAGCATGCAAAGCATAGCCCAGTTCTTTTTAAGTGAAAGCTATTATGGCAGTGCTACACAAGATTGCTCGTCTTTCATTTTGTTTTGTTTTTTTCCCAAAGGGTACATGACCATTCAGATCCTTAAATAAAAATGAGTCTGCACTGGGACAGGCATATGGCAGACAACTAAAATCAGATAGCTTACACTATCACTGCTGCCAAGCTCCAGTTTAGTTTGCCCTTACATACAGAGCTGAAATTGGGCTGCTATTTGAACTGGTTCACAAGCAGGTCATAAGCTTCTGCCCTGAGGGTGCCTCGGCTTATTAGAGAGGTGTGGTTGCTGCATACTGTTTTAATCCATTGCTGCATGTCTGTCAAACCAATAAAAATATTTTTATACAGGTAATAAGTGCTACAAATAATCTTTCTAGTATTTAAAATCCATCTGCAGTAATTACAGCCACCTGTTAGAATCAAAGTGAAAGAGCCTTGCACCGAAATCAGAGTAGAGCTGACTGCTTTATCTAGCATGGTCAGTGCTAGTGAGATGGAAAACACTGGCATATCTGGCAAGAAGGCTTGTATTGATGTACCTTTAAGTGGTACTGAGTAACAGAAGAAGAGAACATCTTTTTAAGATTACTTTTGCATCTTCTTTTTCTTTTTGCATTGCTTCACTAGTTCTAAGGAGCTCTTTGAACCTGAAGGTGAAATCGAGGTTAATACTGAGCATGTAGGGAAGGTGATCTCTGACTGCTGCATTCTTGTCAAGTTAATCTGGTTAGAATAACTGATGTTTCTGATAGCCAGCGAGAGGCTCAAAAATAAATAAAAATGCACTCTTGTATTGCAGTTGGGCATTCAGATCCAAACAAAATAAGTAAAAACGAGATCAGAAAAGAGTAGTCACTTTTTCCACAGCAAGATTCCAGTTGGAATTAGCACTTGTATAGTTGCTGGTGTAGTTGAGATGTCCATAGAGCAGACGTTTCCCAACAGCAAGTACAATTCTGTATTCTTTATAATTGTGCTTTTTATTAAAGCATCCTGGTTTGAAAATCTTACTCAGAAACTGATTTCAAAATCTAGAGATTTATCTAGAGATTACATTGTAATTTCTGCGATGCAAATACACTTTACTGCTCTAAGGATCAAGCAACTCCAGACCTTGAGAAGCGAGATTACTGGAATATATTATGTCAAGTGGTTTGTAGTTCAAAGAAAACCAAAGTTAGGGTTCTGCAGCACAAAGCAAGCTATCTTCTGTGTACAGATATGACTGTCCCTGCCGCATAACAGAAAGCTTTGTTTACCACTCTTCTACCTCATTCACCAAGTGGATAGTCCTTTGAAGTTTTCTTTTTAAAGATAATGTTACAGCTTTGATCAGAGATCTTCTTATATGGTCATTTCTATGGAGCTATGAATTAATTTGTATCTTAATATTGTCGCTGAGAATAAGATTTTTCATCTTTATATACTAGCACAGTAGCCAGGACTGTCACTTTTCCACTAACCTGAGTTGAGTAACTTGCTCAGCATTGCTCAGATACTTCTTGTGGAAAGAATAGCTCAGTTTTGTTGATCTGAGAGCAGTGCTTCTGTAGTTCCTTGCTTGATTGACTTAAACCATCACCTTTTTCAGCCAATAGTGTAAGTGCAGGGACCTAGCAGACAAAAAGCTTACATGTTTCTGGAGAACTTTGTCCTAAGTAGCACACAGAATTTGGGAAAATGGGGAAGGAAGCACATAATGAACTTTAATCTTATGCTAGATGAATATGAGTTGAGTGGATAACCTCAACTTATTCTCTTTTGCAATACACAATTTCTCTGCATTCACCCTGCTCAACCTGCTCCTTTTCAACCCCGGCAATGGCCAAACAAAACCCCAGAAAGCTTAAATATGTTTTGTCTTGGAATATGTTGACGTTACAGAATCAATTAGAGGTATTGGAGTCTTTGTACTTACTGCTTGGGTTTCTGCCACTTAAATGCAGTGACTTTTAGTGTTGGTGAATGGTCCTCTCCTCTGTAGAACAGTAATAGAAGGAGGTGACCCTCTTCTGGTTGTTGGATACCATGGCTGTGAGCTTGAAGTACAGGCACAGGCTCAGACTTCTAAGTTCAGCTCATCTGGCAGAAGCTGTGTTGTCTGATGATCAACAATTAACGCCCATCACTAATGGTGGTCCTTTTTCCCCCACCTTCATTGCTCCTGCAGCCAACTTGCAATTCATGTCTTCCATTGAAGCTTCTCTGCCTTGTCCTGTAGTACACTAGCAAGATCTTTGAGAGAACATGGGAGAAACAGTCTTTGCTCTTCATTTCTGTGCCTTAATGTGAATAAAATGAGATTTTTTTCCTTAGCCTGTCTTTTTTGGAAATATCTAAACTGTGTCAACCTGTAGCATTTTCACCTGAGGCAGGTTCATCAGTACAGAAGGAAAAGTAAGTAGATGCCTTTAAAACTGACGGCATCTGGGAACATTAACTGTAAGTGCTTTTAATATTTTGATGGGCTTGGGATTGAAGAGGATAAAGCAGAAGACTGTAAGGTGTAATCATCTAATTTCAATCAGTAGTTTGGTAATTGCAATTCAGTTATTGTTAAACTGCTAGCAATCTATATACATGTGTGTTTGTGTAGGCCAGAAGCGGGCATCTAAGCGAGGAGAACAGCAAGGATTCAATAACAGAGGAGCAGAGGTGAAACAAGACAAAACTGAACGGAGACCATCTGTTAGGGAATACCGTTCCCGTGGAACAGAAAGACAAGTGGAGTTTACAGTGGAAAGGTATGTGTCATACAGGGAGAAGTAAGGTGCCTCATGGAGGATCTGCACAGGGGTGGGAAGAGGAAGACTGAACAGTCTTAAAACAGATCTAGTAACCAGATGTGACTTGAAGGCATGGCTGCATTATTAGTGTGTAGATTTGTTGCAAGATGACTTAATTAACACCCGTCAAACCTGTAATTTCAGCTTCCTCCCAGATTAATTTGGAGCGGTTTTGTTAAATGTTAGAAATATAAGGTGAAATTGAAAAGTGCAAAGATCTGAAAACATAACCTTCAATCTGCAACATAAATGTTCATTTCTGAGCTCAGGTACCAAATGTTGCAGAACATGTGGTGTAGGTTCCAAGTTGAATGAATTTTACTGTTCCAACTGAAAATAAACCTTTGTCATACTATTTACTGCTTGGACAGTGATTGCATATCAATTTTGCTTTCTTTACTAGAAAATTCCGCCTAAACCTTTAACACTTGGGAGCATGGCTGTTCTTACTTTACATCACAGCAGTCTGTGTTTTAACAAGTTCCCTGAAATTTTTAGCAGTTGCACGTAACTCTGGATTTAGATAGTGGAGCTTGTACCCAATAAAGTTGCTGAAGATTTGAGAGTTTATAATGTTTTATTTAACTTCTCTAATGTGTTCAGTGTTATCAATAAACAGCTGAACTTACTATTCCTGTTATCTGTAATAATTCCCCCTTGAGTTCGGTTTATGTCCATTTTTAATGACGAAACTAATACAACCGTAAAGATGCACGATGCACTCTAAAAAATGTAACTCTCATATACTGATGTCTCTTACAGCTGAACAAATAAAACCATGCTTTTTTTTTTCTCCTTCTTAACTGTTCTGTAGGAACAAAAATCTGCCTAGAAATCCTCTTTTTAGACCAATTGAAAGATTAGACTGTGAAAGGCCAATAAGAGGTCGTGGTGGAGGAAGAGGCGGAATGCAAGGTAGAGGAAGAGGTGGTGGAATAAATCGGAGTTTCGATGGCTTTGACCAAAGAGGAAGATGGGAATTTGAAAGACAAAGTGGGAATGATAAAACGTAAGTGTTCTATGTGCTGCTTCTTACTTGGTGCACAAGTAAACGGTAGTCAGCACTGCAGTAGTGTCTCTTAAGTATTCTGTTCCCTCCTTTTATATCTAAGTTGGCTGGCAATACTGGTTTTAGTTTGAGGTCCTAATGAAAAAAAGCTCTTGAACTCACAGAAGCCTGTTTCTCTAGAGGAATGAAAGCAGACGACAAAAAGGGTGGAGGTGGAGCTCGCAACTGGGTAACAGTTAAAGATGATACAAGGTACTACATATACTTGTGCCCACCATAAATCATCATTTTCAGTCCATGAGTTTCATGTCCATTTTGAGCTTTATAAGCCTTGCTTTCTATTAATTGTTGTGATGGATGTAGTTTTACAGTTTTCTGAATTTGTCGTCTTCATGTTGGTGAAATTAAATTATAGCAAAGGCGTGGTGATGTTTCTTCAATTAAGACTGCCAGAATCTTTTGACTGGGGCCAAATTGTCTTTTAACTGAAATAAGTAATGACTTTTCTCAATAGTCAAGTGTTGTGTTTTTTAATTCCAGGCAGCAACCAAGCACCACGCAGCCACTGGCTCACTGCTTCTCCCTCCCAGTGAGATGGGAAGGAGAATTGGGAAAAAAAAGTAAAACTCATGGGTTGAGATAAGAACAGTTTAATAACTAAACTAAAATATAATACAATAATAAAACAAAAACAGTAATGAAAAAAATATAATAAAAGAATAAAACCCAAGAAAAGACAAGTGTTGCGCAATGCAGTTGCTCACCACCCACTGACTGATGCCCGAGCAGTGATCAATCCCTCCTGGCCAACTCCCCCAGTTTACATACTGGGCATGACATTCTATGGTATGGAATATCCCTTTGGCAAGTTCAGGTCAGCTGTCCTGGTTATGTTCCCTCCCAGCTTCTTGTGCACCTGCTTGCTGGCAGAGCATGGGAAACTGAAAAATCCTTAGCTTAGGAAAAGTGCTACTTAGCAACAACTAAAACATCAGTGTGTTATCAACATTATTCTCACACTGAATCTGAAACACTGAACCAGCTGCTAAGCAGAAAATTAACTCTATCCCAGCCAAAACCAGGACATCAAGTAAGTGGGAATCTGACATTTAATGGCACTGCTATAAAATGCCAATTAAAAGACTGAAGCTCTGTTAGTGGGCTTAAAGTCCAGTCTCTTTTTCTCAAAATCTATGGATCATTTCTAAATTGCAAAGATTTGATACAATTCAGTGTGGCTCTGGAGGTAGTATTTAGCTGACTGTACCACTGAAATACATTCTAAAGCACACAGAAGGACCATTAACAGAATGTGATGGCTTATTAATGGTCAGTTAGATTAAAAAAAAAAATTGGTAATTTTCCATTAAATTCTGTATTTCTTTTACTGGTTTCTGTTTGAATTTAAAAAAGCTCACTGGAAGTGTCAGCTTTTGTCCATTGTTTTCAATTTGCTACTCTTTCCAGTAGCTTTTGTTCTCATATACATCTGGAACACTTCAATTGGAGGCTGATAAAGGACAGAGAAAAAGCACCACTCAGAACTTACAGCAAACATCTTTGGCCACATACACATTCATTCACAAAATTGTTTTAGAAATAAAATTTTATTTTTAAACCTTAGATCATGGATTCAGGCAATCTGGCTAAAAGGTCGAAAAATACAGCCTTGATTGGTAATAATTTTAGGGCTTGATTTGGGGCTTGATGTTCCAAGTTCTTCTGAAAGGTTGTACTAACTTCTCTGTCTTCTATAGTATTTCATACTAAAAGTAAAAGATTGGTTAGGTACTCTGGCTCTTCAAAACAGTCAGCTAGGTTAACGTAGTTCTGAGGTGATACCACAAAACTAGCTGACCAAAAGGACAAAACTACCTTTTGTAAGATGTCAGGGAAGGTTGTGTGAACTTCATAAAGTACAAGAAATTTAAGATCTGTTGTATTTATTCTTCCTGGTTAAGTTTTTTTTAGTTCAGTAGCATCAGAACTTATCATATAAACATGAAATATCAATGCTTTCTTGTGATGTGGTGTGTGTGGTAGAAGTGACATTAAATTGGAGTTGTCTAAACAATTCTAAAAGCATGTCTGTGCCTTAATTGTGCTCAGTGATGCACCGAAGCTAGAAGGTGTTAATTTTAAATATGTATGCCTACCAGTGGAATGAAAGTAATATGGTACTGCTCTTGTTTGACCATGAACTAATATCTGTGCTACAGAAAACATGAACTTGTAGTATGAATTTTCCCATTCTCATAGTTGAAAAGACACAAAAAGGCAAACCCAAACATCAGTGATATACTGTAATTGAGTACTGATATTAGTATTCACGACTGAATTATTTTGTCTTCATGCATGCTTGCCACTTTTTTTTGATTAAAAGTACATAGAAGTTAGATTTTCCTAATACTTATTTTGTTAGTCGCTCAACTAGTAGATCTACTTTCTGCTTATGATGCTAGAGTGTTTTTCCTCTATTTTTCCCCTCCCAAGGTAGTCTGGGAAAAAAGTGATGTATTGATCTGCAAGGGTTTTTTTCAGCGTGATCCATGAAGACTTTATGTTTTTTTGTTTACTCTTTTAGTGTCATGGAACAGACTGCTCCTATGGAAGAGACTGCAGAAACAACTGAGCAGCCAGAGGCATCTGAAGGAGAGGCTCTGAACAAGTATAGTCTGACTAAAGTATTTTTTTCTAAATGCAAAGAAAACAATTGACTGTTACTGATACACTTGTATTTGGAGGCACACTTGAAATGTGAACTGTGAAGTTTTGCTAGTGCACATACTTAAAGATAGAAAAGCTTTGTCAATATTTGTGGGTCAAGAAAATGCATCCCTAATTATGACTAAAGCTTGGTTTATACAGCTGCAGATTGCATTTAATTGCCCAATGATGCTTATGTTCCTAAGATTTGGTGATAATTTAGGGAGGAGCTACCTGTTGTCTCTTACCTTTTTAACTTGGCTAATTTGTAAAAACTACTCTGCTTTTTGAAGTTCTCTGAGAAAAAGGTATTCAAGGTGCCTATGCCATTGTACAAACGCAATTAAAATACACCAAGAGAAAATTCTCTAAGTCGCTATTTGTCAGTCACTAATACCATGCAGTTGTCATCTATTTATGAAAAGCCTCTGTAGAATTTGAAAAACTTGCTGGAAATGGTCTTGCAGTGTGCCTTAGAAGTAGGGAATTTGAGAGAGAAATCTGCCCCTTGTCTTCTGGCTTTCATTCTGATCAGTGTCCAATGAGAATTTACTTCACAGCAAATAAACAGCAGCTTAAGAAAAAGTAACTGGACAATCTTGTCCAGGTAAGAGACTTTAAAGAATAATCAAATAGCATATGGAGTGAAAGAGGGTCAGTGCAATATGTCAACCTTCTCTTCTGTTGCTGTGAAGCCTTTTTTACCTAATGATGCAGCCCCAGTTATTAGTGGCCTTGGTTCATTTCTTAATTATTAAGCTGACTAGACTACAAAACCTGTTTTGTATGTTCAGACTGTATAACCCTGTAAGAAGTTGAGTTGATAGATCTTTGATTCTTTTAATTTTAAACTAGCTTTTAATATGTAGCTAGAGGTATGTACACATGGGGAAATCTGTCTCTGAAATTAAATGACTGTGATTGAATTTCCAGAAAACTGTTTCTAGACTGACTTAGATCAGATGGATAGTGTAGATGAACTGTCAGAAATGCCCTGGATTAGCTAAATATGAGAACAGTTATTCAGCTTTTTTCATCAACTACTGGTACCTTGTTTCAGACTTGTATTTCTTTCTGCTCCAATTCAAGCTCTTTATATGCACGTCCTGACATCAGTTCCTTGTAGAGCGTAAGGCATGAGAAGCATATGTAGTGGAAAAGGCACCTCACAGCATCTGCCAGGTGTCTTTAACTTTCCCTTTCTCAGAGATTAGTAGGTATTTTGTTAGACTGTGAGCCATTCTGGCGATTTTACTCTGGGTTTTATTCCAGAACTCCTCTTCAAGTTTTTAAAAAAACTTCATTTAGGAATAGTCCACTGAAATCCATAAGATTTAAAAATGCAAGTAACCTATGAGTACAAAGTTCTACATTGTGTATTCTTTTCAGTGTGGTAAATATTGTCCTGAAGACTTAGGAATCTGTATACAAAATACAAATTACATGTACCTCACTGCACTTACCTCCAGGGGTAGTATCAGCATGGTTACTCTATGTATTTTAAAATAGAAGAGGAGACATTGTGCAAATAGTGCCTAGGTAATTAGAAATGGTTGTATGGCATACACGTTGACAGGGTGAAATTATTTTTGTTGTTCTTTTACATTTAAAAGCAAAAGCTGGTGGGATATGGTTTGCAGGCTTGCATGCTTAAGTTGTCCCTGCTCTCCAGAGTTGCTGTCTTCTGGGAGGTAACACACCGGCACAAGATTCTAGCTAGGCTACTTTCTGCTTTCGCTACAGCCTCAATAGTCAGGGTGTGGGGGTGTGTTTGCTTAAGCTACGGCTAGGATTGTTCTCATTTTGACTCTTAAATGCAGCAACTGCAAGGAATCCATTTCTTTTCTACTGCTTTATTGCAGTTACATGCTTGTATTGAGGAAGAGATGGAAGACTTGGGTTTGTTTCTTTTCTCATTCTCTTTCCTGTTGTAACTGTTTCCATTTAAAAGAAAAAAAAAAAAAGTATTCCTGGAAACTGGGAATAACCTGTCTGTGTGGAGATACTGTATAGCTTTCTGGTGTGGTACTGGCTAATTTCAATACAACTCTGGAAAGACTTCTGTGGTCTACTGTAACTTATGGGGTCTTGCCTTCAGGACTGTGTACCACATTGCTGTTCTTGAGCTTCCATTTGCAAAGTATTGCAGGACAAGAGTTTCTTTAGTATTTCTATAATATAAATCAAGTTATTTCCTTCCATATCTTCAGATTTCCTTGAGTGTATCGACAATATCTCTGTCTGTTTATAGCATCCGAAACTGCATGGTAATAGTTTGAGGTTTTTTGCTGCAAGTAATAAGTATAAAATATACAGGTAGTACAGCAGTATAAGCTTTCCTCACAGCTGCTTTCTGTGGAACTTGTCTTCATAGTCTGAACAATATAACACACTTGTGTTAACTGGTAATTCAAATGATTAGATTTTTCTTTTTATTCAGTACAACACATAGTCTAATCAATTCCTGTCAAAGGTATTTGCAGAGTTAGTATTTATTCTGTGGGATTTTCTTCCATTTCTTCACACAGGACTTTCTTCCTTTTTGGTGGAGCTATGTATTCTTCTGGTCATCTAATAGGAAGCTTTCAAAATTTGTCTTCAAGTTTGCTGAGCTATTTACCTGGGTTTTTTTGGGTTTGCTTTTTGTTTGTTTGTTTGGTCTTTTTTTAATAGTGACATAAAGTTATCCATAGACCAGTCCAGATCTTCAAAAGTATTTGAATTTATATAGTTGTCACTTGGTCTTAGCTCATTTAACTTTGTTTAACTAACCTTGTTTAACTTTGAATTTTGCTCAGACTGGTGGTAATGCTCCTGTTTAGTAGGAAAGATTTATGTCATTGGTTTCTTGATAAAAGCTGAATAAAAACTTGCTTTGTGCAGCTGAATAATAGAAAAACTGATCTGAAAAAGACCCACTATAATTACTTTTAATGATATGAAAATAATCAACTGAATAACTGAGCTGAATGCCATTCTTTTCCATTCTCAATTCTTCTGCACATTAATGTGTTCATGTACAGCAGTTCCAGCAAGAAAGGTATGCACGGTAAACAAGGTATAGCTAGAGGGTTATGGTCATCCATTGAAAACACTGAAGCAGTAGGAACGATTTCTGAAGGCTCCCATTTGGTGGTGTTGTATGTACTTGCATTGTGAATTCAGTTTGTTCATGTCCAGAGGCCACGCTTAGGTGTCTGGTAATATTTTGTAAGCATGACTGTTGGTGTGCCAAGGAGCTTATTAACGTGATTAATGAAAATGCAGACCAAGCAGTTACTAAAAATGCATAAGGTTAGAAGGTAGAAAGTAATGCACAGAGTACACTTCCGTGCAGGCTTGGTGCCCAAATAACCTGCTACAATTGAGTCTCTGTCCAAAATGTGATATGCAGGTTCCTGTTGCTGTCTTTCACTAATAGGATGTGTTTCCCATTGGGAGTCTTGGCACCCTGAAATAAATTTGTACTGCTAATAACCTAGCAGTTGAAACCATCCTTTGGAGTAAAAATCAGACTGTTGAAAAAACAAACATTTGCCATGTAAAACCACCAATATTTCCTTTAGAACAGGCAAGTGGTTGTTTTTTGATAGATGTGTACTTTTCAAAGCAATACCTGCGATTGCTTTTTTGATAGGTCAAGTTGCTGTGTAGTGAAATGTCCTCATGTTGTCTTATGATCATAGAAACTTAGATCTGAAAGGGGTCTTGATGACCCAAGGCATGACTAACCACCATACCTATGCTGCTTCTCATGCCTGTCTAGTTGATTTCAGTGTCTCTTGATGGTCTTTCCAATACTTTGAATATAGAAGCTACTGTGTGTGGTTTTTTTTCTCCCGAGTGTCTTGCCTGAACATCATGGATTTGCAAAATTTTCTTTCTTTTTTTTAATATTGTCTGTGTTTCCTTCTCAGCATCTCTTTAAAGGCTTCCCACTTAGATCATGTATTTTAGACTTCATCGCTGTCTTTTAGTTCTGTTCTGGACTTTCTGCCTGTTCCCACGTAGAAGACATTACTCAGTTGAGACGTTGTTCCACCCTACTGGCACTGACATCTGTTCCAAACAAAACTGTTGATGTGTGTCTTTATAATAATACTCTGTTGCAGAAGGGACGAATGCTGTTGATTTAAAGTTCAGCTCAACTGGGTTACCTGCAATACTCTTGCATGCTTTTGGGGGGTTGGGGTCCCCCCTTCAGAGCTTCTGCCTTCCTAGTTGTTATTTCTGTGTTTGGGTGGCTGGTACTTTTGCCTGAGAGTACACGTTTCTTCTTGTCCTTGGGACTTCCTGGTAGTGGTTGTTTTGGTTGGTTGTTGTCAAACCACTTACTTGATTGCTTTAGTATCTCATACTAGTGGTCAGTCCTTTGGTATTCTTGAACACTTGCGCTATTGCCTTTTTCTTTGTCAGGCTTTGTGCCATGGAAAATGCAGTAAATGTGTTGTGTATTGCACTGCAGATAACTGCACAGAGCTGACCTTAACGCTCTGCTCAAATGCTTGTTTTTCTTTTGCAAATTGAAAGATTGATAGCTACTTCTCAAGTCCTTGTTGCAACCAGTTCTGTACCTTTCTACAGCTCTCGCCAAGGACTGAAGCAGTGTGTCCTTAATGTAGTGAAAACTTAATCTGAGAGGAGGACAAAAGACTTCCTAAAGTTCAGATACGCAATTTAAGTGGCTTAGGAAGAAATGAAACAATTTAATAAAGCCCCTTCTTGTTAGTTTATTCTCTCCTTTTTTTTCCTCTGGGTGCCTGCAACTAGTCGTGTTTTTCTAACACCTGTTCCCAAAACTGAAGCTTCAGATAGTTGATCAAAAATTATCTGGCTTCTTACTATTGAGGACAACAAATTGAAATGTGTGGGGTGCAATTGGTTCTTAAAGCTCTTACACATGGCACGGTGAATCTTCTTGTTTTTCCAGAAGTAGCTGCACCTTTCACCAGTATCCTTTTTATTTAACTCGGTAAACTGGTTAATTTTATTCTGAACAGTCCTTCTAATGTAGTTTCAGATCTTCTTATTCGATATGGAATTACAAGCTGCTTACCAGTCTTTTAACCTTTAAATTCTGGTTAATATAGCTGGAATTTTCAAAATCACAGGCCATGAAGGCATGTCAGAGGGTAGGCATATAGTACAGGAGTTGCATGGTTTTTATTTACTTTTTCTGTGAGGTGCATTTAATACTGTATTTGTCCTAGAACCAAAATTAAGGGCTATCTTACTGTTCAGTTCTGCTTCTACCTGTCATATGCTGGGTGCTTTAGGGAAATACTGTATAATTTTGACTGGCAAGAAATAGAATTGTTCTCTGCAAGATCAAGTATGAAGAAGGAGCAAGCCTGTTCCTATATAGCCTAGTTCTGAATGTACAGAATACTCCCAACAAATGTGTGTGTTCTGGTGGGGCGCTTGTACAACTTCAAAAACAAAATGCACAGTTCACTGACTGTCATTTGACTCTGCATCTTTCCATGATAAAATAAATTTCCAACTTGCATCTAATCAACTCTATATAGTATCATATATCAGCTGTGTAGCAAATCATCAGCATTTGGTAGAAGACAGCTTGGAACTGTGATTGAGTGAGGAAAAACAAATCCGTAGTTCTCCCACCAGAAGGGACCTAGTGAAAGAGTTTCTAGAAAAGTCAATGTTGGGGAAATACTTAACCAACTTTGACTGCTATTGCAATACATAACAGTTTTGTGTGGGAGAAGGGAGAAATGGTTTCTCAAGTGTCTGGGAGTAATCAGTGCAGGTTTTCCTGTAGTTTGTGGTATATTACTTGTTTCTGCAGCAAACAATTACAGTGGTGAAGCGTGTTGTGCTCCCTGCATGTGATGCTGCTTAGCAGGGAATAGCTTTCTGCAAAAGGTACACTGTAGTGTATCCTAATAGCTGCTGGTCCTGTGCAAGTCAGTCTTGGTCAGCATCAGAAAAGTGGCAGAAGAGAGGTCAAGCAGTGATGAATGGAGAAGAATCTTTAGTTTTGTCTCATGTATCTTGTCTTATGAATACAAACATAAAGCCTTGGACCTCTGTCTTTACGGTTCAAATATATGGAAGGCAGACTCCGACATACTCCATATGTTTTCCTTGAACATATCATCATTATTGCACTTTGTGACAAATTAAAACTGCCCTAGGATTAATCTGGTTTTGCCAGGTGATACTGTCTCCTTGTGTGCTACTACATCTGACAAAAGAAATGAAAGAAGCATCTTGTGAAATTAACAAAGGAAATACTAATTGCCTAGAAGATCCCATGGTATGATCATCCTGTCTTTTTGATGACTGAAAGCTGCACTGAAACATGACTCTATCTCATATTTTCATCCTGTAGTACGAGTCACTAAAACCATGCAATTGGAGTATTTTAAAACTGCGTGGTATGCTTTTTTTTGCTATGGCATGCTTTTATGGCAATATTTGCTAGGAGTAGGTCCACAATTAAACAGTAGGGTTGAGAATATACCAGATCAAAAGAAAGCCTGGTTTTGTCTAGAATCCGAAGTGCTTGAACTTAAAATGAGACTGGATAAATACCAGAACTTACTGCAGGAGCCTGGAGACAGCATTTGTTCATACACCTAATTTCAAACAGACCATAAGTATATTTTCCAACTTAATTAATGTAAAACTCACACATCAAGCTACTGTGGGGAGTAAGTGAATTAAGGATAGTAATTTGGTGAGAAACATTCCAAATGTTTTGTTTCGTATCCTTACTTTAGAGATTAGTGTTCTTGTTCATCCTGGCATGTTGCAAGCTAATGGTTTTTACTTTACGACTATAAACCTTTAGAGTTGCTGAAGGAGAGCCAAATGAAGAAATAGTTCAAGAAATGACCTTAGATGAGTGGAAAAATCTTCAGCAACAGAATCGACCAAAGCCTGAATTCAACATCCGGAAGCCAGAATCCACTGTTCCTTCCAAAGCAGTGGTGATTCACAAGTCAAAATATAGCGATGATGTAAGCATTGCCTCAGGAATTCTGTAAACTCTGCTTTATGCCCAGGGTTAGGAAACTGTCTCTATTCTTTTCCTACTAGTTTTAGTGTAATCTGAACAGACTAGAAATCAGTATCTAAGCTTTGTTACTGTAATGACATGTGCGCCCCAAAACTTGCTTTAAACTTAACCGTCTGTTCAGTTTCTTCTCTCAGATCATCACCCCTGTTTTGTATGCAAATACCTAATATATCAATTTGTTCTACCTTATGGCTCAGTCTTAGCAATACGAAACCTGTGTCCTTGCTGCTGCCACCTACGTAGATCTCTGGTGATGCTGCCAGAGAAACTTGGTTTACTAAACACTTCTTATCCTAACTTTGAATCCTGTTTAGCTTACTTGCCAGTATACACTTGCACGTATGTATTAAACTCAGGTTTTGGCATCTGTTAGTCTGGGAGCTAAGTGTCCTGTTTCTCATCTGTGCTGGATCCCAGCTTTCACTGTGCATTTGGAATACAGGAATTTCCTGTGCCCCTCCCTCCCCCCTGTTTCAGGTTCCTGCTTCTTAAAAGTAACTCTGGAGAGCTTGTTCTGTAGTAATGTGCCTTCCCCCCCCCGCCTTTTCCCCAACTTTATTCCACAGTATTACTGGGATTGACACTTCAGGGAGAAGTTCTAGTTTATGGATACGACTTGGGAGAGAGGGCAGGCTTCTTTCACAGATTCTTGCTTACTTAGATTTCAGATTTTGGGGGTCACAGAAGTATCTGCATATACTTGTAGTCTAGGATGATGGAAATTTCATCCTTAAAGCCTGCATGCACGTATGAATACACATATTATCCTTTGTCTAGTTATAATATTAACATACAAACTTGCAGCTTTTTAAGCCTTAATCAGTTTAGGTCATTGAGCGCTTCTAGGGACAGATACTAATACTGAAGTGGCCTGTGTTCTTTTTAGCATGGCTTTTGGTGGTCACAGTTGCCATTATCCTCTCTTCCTTCTCTGAGGGAGATGATGGTAAGGGTGGAGAGAATATATTTCACAAGCTCTGAAGAGACTATGTAAGTGTGTGAAGAGTGCATGCAAGTTTCTGTTGGTTTTGCCCATAAAGTTTCTTGGCTGGCAGTGTCAAGGGACCTTGTCAAAATGGACATAGAATAGGAGGTACAGGAACTGCATAAGATGGACAATTCAAATCCCTGTATTAGACATTGAATAAAATAAGTGATTCATCACTGTATGGGATAAGTTTACCTATGTGTTATTATTGCTACAGTGCACATTAAAATTATGATGGTAAATAGTCTTACAAATAGATTGGTTAGTAGCCAAATACTGTGCTTTACTGTGGCCTTTTAACTTTGACTTGGAGATAATTGTAGGAGTAGCTTAAGCCTGATTCTCTAGTCCCTTAGAAAACCTTGTAGATGATACTTATAAAAACCTCTTCAGTGTTACGGAGCTGGTACAGAAGACTTTGTTGCCAGGACTCTCTGAGCCAACAAAAACCTATCCCAGGCATCTGGGAAGCTGCAATTGCCTTGCCTCTGTTAAAACCCAGTGCAAGTTATGGCCTCTCTTCTTTTCCGGATGTCACCTTGATTTATCTGCTGCTTAGTCTGTAATACAAGTGTGCATGTGTATCAGGGAGGGGAGAAGGTTGTATGTGGAAGCTGTAGATTTTAACCAGATCTTCTTTTTAGTTGCAAAAAGAAGACTTTGAAGACGATTCTTATGTCTTTCGAAGACCAGTGAATGACATAACATCTCAGCTGGATATTAATTTTGGAAGTCTTCCTCGCCCTGGCCGTGGATCTAGAGGAGCACGGGGTGGTCGTGGTCGTGGCAGACGAGTTGAGGAGACAGGACTTCAACCACAAGTAGTGGCAATGGCTTTTGTTGTTGTTTGCCTGGACATTATTTTTTTTTTTTGGGTGGGGTGTGTGTGTGTGTGTGTCTCCCACCCCCTTTTGTGTGGAATTACTAATTTCCATAGTGACAAACTTGTTTATACCTGCCTCATAGTATATTGGCCTGGTTATTTTGAGTTCCTGACCCATATCATGTTACTTAAATTTAAGTACCGGTTCAAGCTCACAACTCTTAAGACCTAAATTTCAAAAGGTCTGATTACTAGTTGTTGTAATGATAACTAGGGGAAAGGATGCAATGAAGATTTGTTTCTGCAATCAGTTTTGATATAAATTGGGAAGTAATTAAAATGACTAAAAGCTTGTATCCCTTCCTCACAAAAAAATTTCAGTCTAGTGCAGTAATAGTACTTTGATTACTGAGAGCGAGATCAGTAAATCTGGCATCCTACAGATGAAGACAGAATCCTACAGCATCCTACAGAACGATACAAGTGTTCAATATAACCATTAAAAAAAACTTCCACTGACCTTTTCCTGTTTAAAAAAAAAAAAGGTATTTGCATACTGAAAAATGACATCTTTATTCATACTAACTGAAAGTCTCAGTTTACTTCTGTCTAGTATGAGTAGAATACTTACTTACTTACAGAATGACACAGAAGTGATTTGATGCATTTGTTTAATCTGAATGAAAAAGGCTCTTTATAATAACAGAGTATAGAGTTTAAAACTACAATCCAGTATGTGCAGTAGCCTTAGAATGTAAAAAGATAATAATGCTGCTTCTAAAAACAGACAGTATTTTGGGTGGGATTGCTTTAATTTTTTTTTCTTCGCTTCAGTGCTGCAGAACTTGTGATCTTCTGGTACTCTCCAGGCAGTAGATCAGCATTATAAATTCGTCCACACTGAAGAAGTTAGAGTAGTTGTAACTTCTGAGATGAATGCTTAGCATTTCTGTGATAGTTATGAATACAAAGCATTTAACTTGAATAGAAGAATGAACCCTTTCAGGCTAAAATACATGTACATAGCTGTCAGATGCTTTTGAAATGCATTAATTTTTATAAAGCTTCCTTTCTTCTTTTATAGGTGCAGCTTGTTGCTCCAAATCCTGATGATCCTGAGGATTTTCCAGCTTTAGCTTGAAGAACCATCATGAATGGTGGTATCTCAAAGTAGCTTTCGTGTAGCTGTGATGAGACCAGTTTTATGCTGGTGTGAATAAAGAAAGTCTGTTTTCACTGGAAAAGCTTTTTGGGTGTTTAGTGTGGAATGACTGCAGCCCTCTGCTAATGCAGTTGGGTTCTGGAGATACTGACGGACTGGGATCCTCTCACAGGTTCCAGTGTCTGCCTCCATTTGTGGAAGCTGTGTGAAGACTTACAGTACTTCACTAAAAGGCTTCAAATGAAGTTCAAGAGTAAAGTGTTTAAAACTGTGTATGTAGAGGTTATACCAAGTTCTCCATGACACCATGGTGAAATGTAAACTGTACATGTTCTGCAATGTGGACTCGCAGCCCAGGCGGCCAGCCGCATCCTGGGATGCATCAAGAGAAGTGTGGCCAGCAGGTCGAGGGAGGTAATTCTGCCCCTGTACTCTGCTCTGGTGAGACCCCACCTGGAGTATTGCATCCAGCTCTGGAGCCCTCAGCACAGGAGAGACATGGACCTGTTGGAGAAGGTCCAGAGGAGGGCAACGAAAATGATCCAAGGGCTGCAGCACCTCTCCTATGAAGACAGGCTGAGAGAGTTGGGGTTGTTCAGCCTGGAGAAGAGAAGGCTTCAGGGTGACGTCATTGCGGCCTTCCAGTACCTCAAGGGGCCTATATGAGAGATGGGGACAGACTTTTTAGCAGGGTCTGCTGTGACAGGACAAGGGGTAATGGCTTTAAACTAAAAGAGGGGAGATTTAGACTAGACGTAAGGAAAAAAATTTTTACAATGAGGGTGGTGAAGCACTGGAACAGGTTGCCCAGAGAGGTGGTGGAAGCCTCATCCCTGGAGGCATTCAAGGTCAGGCTGGATGGGGCTCTGAGCAGCCTTATCTGGTTGGAGATGTCTCTGCTTACCACAGGGCGGTTGAACTAGAAGACCTCTAAAGGTCCCTTCCAGCCCAAATGATTCTATGATTCTAATTGAGACTTACTTCACTGTATGTTTGAAAGCTGCTTTCCCTGTTTCTTTGCGTGAAGTTGGATTTCAGACAGTCACAAGTTGTAGTTCTTGGAGGTCTGGCAAATAAAGTATTCATTGGTTTGGGTTTGAGGTATTATTTTCACAAGTCAGAGTAGCTGATTGAAGCTTTTGGTATTTGGATGTAGTCTGGAGGAAAAAACAAACCAACAAACAAACAAAACCCCAAACACCACCAAACCCTAAACAGCAGACCTTACTCACCCAAAACAGTGAACATCTCTCTAAACAGTGATGTTTAAAATTAAGGCAGCACAGATGCTCTTAATTGATACCTAACCATAAGTCCTGGTTCAGTTACAAGACATAATGTGCAACTGCTTTGAAGATGTTGAAGGTTAGGTAAAGTAAGAAATTTGAGCTAGAGACAGAATTAAACTGTTAAGGAAACTTTTAATCTTAGCAGAAGCACCTATGAACTAAAATGTTTCATGCCTTACCAAGAAGTTTGTGTGACACTGGGGATGAAGTGGGATGTCCTTTCCTTGCAGCTTTACCATACTTCCTCACTTGAGCCAGATACCCTAACTTGTTGTCTGTCAAAGGGACACTCAGAGCCACTCTCTGGGATCTGAGAGAAACAAGGAAATGGTGCCAGAAGTGATGAAGGAAAGAAATGAGAGGACAACCACACTGGACATTTTGGAAGTAGCTGACAGCCCCAAAGGAGTCTTCAAATGCCTGCTCAACTTGAACTCATCATTTCAATTTACTGGGAAAGCAGATGAATATAAACCTTTTTTCTTCCTGTTCTCTGCCTGACTTTGTTTTGTGTCACTTCTAAACAGTCTCCTTTTAAAGCAAATAGTGGATGAGACTTGAAGGAAAATAAAAACTGTTTTGCTTTGGAGTAAGCTCTAAGAGTATTCAGAAACTTGAAGTCTTATCTCAGCGGTAAGGCTTTACACAAGTAGGACTTAATCATCCTAGAAAAACTACTGACTCTCTTCTGTATGCTCCAAACAGATGTTCTGCAAAGTAGTGCTTCCCTAAAGGACTTTTCTTACATTGTTAAATTACTTCTATGACAATTTGCTATAACATGAGATTTTGGATTCCACAAGGAGCTTATTTTAGTGGCATAGAGATACTCTGACAACTTGTACTAGACAGAATGTGCAAAAGCAAACAAAGTGCTTGTGTTAGAGGAACCCATGCTGCTGCTTTTTGAGTAATTGAACTGGATGAAATAATGTAAATGACTCTTTCACCTTGTAGGACCAAGCTACTACTTGAAATCACTGCAGTTTAAGATTTAAGTGCTGCTGCTCTTTTAATAGGTGTTTAGGAGTTTCTGCCCAAAATGGCAATTTCTTGATCGTGGAACAGAAGTGAGTGGTTTTGCCTATAGGGGGTCTTGGAATTTTTTTTGCTTGTTCTTGCTTTCCTGTTCTCTTTATCCCATTGGACAGGGAAGAATGTGTCTGAATTTTTATTTATGTTTTTTCTTGCAGGGGTGAGTGTATGTATAGGTTTCGAGAGCTTCTTTGCAAGGCTCACCTGTATTTTCTGTCATGTTTTGAAGGTGCAGCCTCTTCTTTTACTAACACCTCTTTTTGCTAAGGACAGCCGTGAAATACTTAAAACCCACTCTTCCTTTTTCTACTAAAAATTTGAAACCTTGTTATTCTGCTGGGCTGAATCTGGTGTAATGCAGTTGGTTCAGTTCTGACTCTTCTCCGGGAAGGCTGAAAGGATTGTTTTATTTTTCAGTCTGCTTCCTGCTGCTGCAAAGTTTCTGTTTACTTCTCTGACTTTCATTCTGTTTTGAAAAACAGATCATAAGTAGGTTCTTTGGGGAAGGCTTTAAAGGATGTGTCAAAATGTATCTGTATAATCAGATTGTTTAAAAACTCCTGGTATAAAAAAAAAAAAAAAAAGGGGGCTGGTTTTAAGACTGTTTAATGAAAACAAACAAACAAACAAAAAAACCCCACAACCCACCCAACTCAAAACTTCGTGAGAATGTGGTTTAGTGTAGTTGGTGACTGGTTATTAAACCAAAGGTGTCTTACAGCAGCTAGGTGTGACAATTTTCAGGCTTAAGAGTTTCTCTAGTTGATACTATCTAAGTATAGAGAAGAAATTATTAATTGTAAATTATGACAATGATCTGGTTCCTTTGCCTAGCTGTGAAAAAAGAACTTAATAAATCTCAGTCATTTGTCGTATTTCAGGAACCAAAATATCTGTATCTGTTAAGCACATATCTGCTGCTAACAGTCATTCCTGGTTTAACTTTACTCCTGCATGTAAAGAAAATGGTAGCAGGTGTAAATATATACACAAAGATTAGTAAAACATGGCATGCATCTTAGGAAGAGATTAAATTGTGTTGCAAATCTTAGTCATGTTACTCTTTAACGCACTACTACAAGGTACTCTGCTGTTAGGATTACTGTAGTGAGTAGCCTAGGAAAAACTACTGCATTCCAGCTTCAAGTTTTAGACTACTGTAAATCACAGTAAGTTTGCAAAGAAAGGAATTCACCTCTCTCCACAACTGTCATTTATATATGATAGTGTTGATAGTGTGGAGTCCACTTGAATCATATATAGTACTGTGGTCTAGGATTGGCAAGAGTATATTGCTATGAAAGTGCCCTTAAAGGAAAGAGGAAAGGAATGTCTGTGCTTAATGTAAGAATACTAAAGAATAACTGAAAAGACTCAGAAGTAAAAAGCCCTGGTAAAGAACTTTAGTTGATAAATAGGAATATTAGGCAACTGAGCCCATAGGAGATGTGCTTTCAGCTTTGGTTACACTTCTTCATGTGAAAATAGGGCTGGGCTATGCTCATCCTTTGGGCCCAAAACCAAAATCTGTAGCCCTAGCACACCTGTGTCATTAAGATTATTCTTACATAATGTTCAAGCCATTTTTTTTTTCCCTTCAGAGCTGTCACAGGCACAAACACACACATATCAACTTAAAAATATGTATACACGCACACATATATATGCAGTGTTGAAAGTAATGTCAGATTGACTCATTGTCACTGGATCCACAGTTGAATGTGAGGCATCATTGTATTTGCAGAAAAAGTACATTTCAGTCACCGAGTAACAGGCATGGAATCGGAGCTTTTCTCTTTCAGTAACATGGGCTGGGCAAGTACTGAACAGTTTGTGCTTGGAGGGGGAAAACCTTCAGTCTTTGGAAGAAGTAACAACTGTTACACTTTGGCTTTATTACTTAGAATTTCACGTGAAATACATTAAATCTTCAGCTGGGCTTTATTTGTTTGCAAACGTGCTTTTTTGAAGATGTGATGCAACAAATGTTGCATCTTCAGAGCAGCTTTGGATGCTGCATCACATTTAATGGCAGTGTTATGTTTGAGACAAACTAGCACTTATACTGAATAAAGGTTTTGCTCTCCCTCTTTGGGTAGCTACTGTGAATATCCATATTCTGTGTTCTGTTGTCTCTACAATGTTTTACGGCTAGTTAACAGGACTCTATAAGGTGCTGCCTGCTTTTAGCAATGGTAGTCCTCTGTCTGGATTTGTGCAGTAGTTACTATTTGAATAAAACATACTGAGTTTTGCATAATGTAATTGAATTAGCAGGATAGCTTTGCCAAAAGTAAAAATAGCAAGAGGAAAAAATAAATTGACATACTATAATCCAGGAATTCTGTGCTTGTTAGTGGTTTGGTTATATTTCTGTTACTTATGGAATGAATGCTGTTTTCAGAGGTTTTCCTGACTTTAGCAAAGGCTCTGGACCTTGGAAGCTATTGTGGGAAAGGTAAAACCTAGAAACCTTCTCAATGATGCTTCTGCTGAAGTGAAGGGGCACAGCCTCACAGGCTGCCCAGGGAGGACGTGGAGTCTCCTTCTCTGGAGGTACCCAGACCTTGCCTGGACACAATCCTGTGCAGGAACCTGCTTTGGCAGGGCAGGTGGATTAGATGATCTCCAGAGGTCCCTTCCAACCCCGGCCATTCTTAGCAAACACTAAAAACATCAGGGCTATCAACCAACATTATTCTCATACTAAATCCAAAACATAACACTACACCAGTTATTTGAAAGAAAATTAAGTCTATCTCAGCTGAAACCAGGACAGTCAGTCACACCCATGTGAAACCAACCCCAAAAACACAAATGCAAGAAAAAGCGAACATCTCTTTCTCAAACTCTTAGTGAGGTAGGCCTAAAGCATGTAGTTTACCACCAGCCTTCAATATTTCTAAACAGCACATCCATTTTGCCACAGCGTATTTTTATCCTACATAGGTTATGAGAAACTGTAATGCAAAGGAGGCTAAATAGAGCCAAATCAAAGTTACTCAGAAATACTTCAAACAGGTTATTCTTGCAGTGCACTAACTTGTCAATGGATTTGCCCTGGGCCACTGTTCAGTTCGTGCTAGGATTTTTTAGTGTTTTGTCCTCCCCTGCCCAGTGCCAGTACTCCTTAAATCACTGATGCTATAATAGGGCTTAACTGTGTTTTCCTCTGGACATCACATGCATAAACTGATGTTTTCCCAGGCAAAACCCATCATTCACTCTTCAGCAGGCAATTAGTTTGTAGGAAAAGATGGTTAAAACATTCATTTAAATTTAGAAAGGATCACCTTACAACACAGATTTTCCAACCATAAAACCCTACCTTTGGAGCAAGTGAACGTTTACTTGCTTGTCCAACAGGCTCTGCTTGGGGTATGCAAATTCTGTATTTTATAATGTAGGAAAGGTTAAGGGTCATTAGAACTATTTGAGTTGGGCAATATTTTTTGGTGTTCTGTTTGGATTTTTTAGAAGACTAAACTAGACCTCCATGAACTCTTATGCAAAAAGAAGTGTTTCCGAAAATTTAGTTTTTACTTTTGAGAAACCTTCACTTTCATGGTAAGTATCAAAGCATATAGTTTTTAATATGATGCCCGTTTCCAAAAATGAGCACTGTATGATCACAGAGGAAGGAAACAAATTAACTAGAACCCCATTGTTCTGTCTTATGCCTGTTTTTTACTGGGTAACAGTATCCCAACGATTCAAATAGAATTACTATTTTTTTCCAAAGTGAGTCCCTTGAAATGTGAAGCCAGAAGTTCTCTATTTTTTTTAATTAGAAAAGTATATGTTTCAAAGATTTGTGCTTTAATTAAAGGTTTTCAGGCAGCTGAGATTGTTGCATTACTTTTCAGAGCATATGTGAGTCAGTGTGGTACAAATATGATGGTTTTGTGCTGAATTTTTTTAGAATGCTGGAAATAAAAGTGAGAAAACAAACTTCTGATTATTATTTTTAATTTTACACAATTCATGTTTACAGTTCTCACTATTGAGTATTTTGTATAAAATCAAATACAATATGCAGTATTTTCAAATGAGACACAAATGCATATTGAACTACTTAAAATTACAAGATAATATGAAGCTTTATCTTAAAAATACCTTCAGCAAAATAAACTCCCATTCTGTCAATCCAAGTTAAAAAAATATGATTAGAAATATACAATTTAAAAATAATCAGGATGAACAGTACTGATTAGTCAAGAAATATTAGATCTTGATAGTCTGTACATGAGTTTACGCAAGACAAACAGTCTGCAAACCATTAATATAAAAACTGCAGTGCAACAAACTGGTGAACATCGCATTTTTTTTTTTCCATTTTAATGCATAAGTCTCTACAAATCTTTTTTTTTTTTTTTTTAATTCAGCAGCACTTACTTTATTGTCAAACTGGGGCAAAAAGATAAGGTCTGGGTTAAGGTATTGTTAACTCTTGAGTTAAGTTATTGATGCTGTAATGGAAGGTAGCAATTTGACCCAAGATATTACAGCTTTTGAGTATGTTGCATACTTTTGAATAAGAGATCAAGGGAGAATCCATCTGTCATGCATTTGAAAGAGGGGAAAGAATTTCTAAGGAAAAACTACTAATTGATGACAGCAGAAATAACTTCTTTCAGCTGCTCTGTGGTACAATGGTGATACAACTGCCACCGCGCATTCTGTTTTGGCACATAATACTGCACAATTCAAAAAAGATTTGGAAACCAAGGACTCCCTCACCTATGCCCACTGTTCATTCTTGTACTTAAGACAGCTTTGGTATGGTACAATAAAAATGCTAGACAAAGTACTAAAAATTCAGAACAAACTAAGCAATACAATTAGATGGGACACAATGAGGTAATGAGTTAAATTTTCCAGATAAGGCTGTTTGGAGAGTTCAAATGTAAAATCTCTTTGACATTTATGTGTTTCTCACTAAGATACTGGGTGGTTGAAGGGGTATCCTGAAACACATTCATGCCAAACATGCAGTTTTGGTTTAGCTAGAGTTGCTATTGTGTGTGTTTGTGCACTTGTAATGCAAATTTACTTCTGATGAACCTGAAAGTGCTAATGGTTCTGCTGGTTACTTTAAAAAAGGCAAATTCCAATTTGGAATTTGGAAGGGGTGTGAAAGAGACTGATTATTTTCAGGTTAAAAACAAAGATGCTAAAAAAGGAAGCTCAGCTGAGAGAAGGGCAAAGCCAAACACCATAAATACTACTAAATCTTGTTTTGACTTTCATCCTCTCACCTCACTAGTTTCATCCCTTCTGCCTTCCAAGACAAGAACTTTCTTCAAAAATGAACACAGATTTGTATTTGCCCAATTTGCCCAACCACTACTGTGGTTACCTGTACTTCAGCTTTTGGGCAAGTGGCTTACTTACAAAAAAAAACAAACCAAAACACACCCCCCTCAAAAAAAATAAAAAACAAACAACCCAAACCAAACCAAAAAACACCAAGAAATTAATTTTATTCACTGTGTTGGGGTAAATTCAGTCCCTCTCTTTTAGGTGCTTTTCACCTAGAAGAAAATGGTAGTGCGGGTGAAGATTAAGAGGAAAACTAAAAACATTTGGGGTCTGAGCCTCAATGGTCCTTTATTTTGCAACATACAAGCCTCTTGTTTTCTTTGTATTCATATTTGCAAATTTTGACTATCCAAACTCACAGATACTACCTGTAAGCTTACTTACATTTTACATCCTGCTTCCCCTCCAACTCATGATGCTCTGATGCTCTTCCCACAAAATGTTTTCAAGCCAATGTGTGGTTATTCATACTGGCATTCAAAAATCACCAGCCTAACAGAAAGCTTAGTTTTAATTTAAAAGGATGTAGATTGAAACTAGTCACTGGACTTGCACATTTACATTCATAAAAAGAAAATTCGCCCCCTTGCAGAGGTAATCTGTATCTTTAAAAACTTCAGTTATTCCATTGCTAGTATTTCAGATCTATTAATTTCTTCTGCTTCCTACTGTAAGAGTCACTAAATCAACAGATAACTGTATCCTATTTAAGGCTATGTGGTAACAGTCCTCATCTGAGGGATATGCAGCTATAAACTTCAGTTGGCAGACAAGGGCACATCACTGCAAAGCCAGCTTTGAGATTTCATAATGTCAAAAGTGGTAGGGAAAAAATGCTGCCAGTGTTTGAAGACAGTCTTGTAGTGGATGAAAATTTCACTCTCAAGACAGGTTCCTCTAAAACTTACACTGTTTTTTAACAGAGGCAAGCTGTAGTTTTTAAAGTGTTAATTAGATGTTAAAAACTATATACCTGCCCCTGAGTTCCACTATCAATCTCAGTTGTACAGCAAGCTTATTTTCCCTTTTTTGTGTGCTGCACTCATTAAGTGTCTCAAAGCTAAAAAACAGTGACATCCACATGTTATCAAGTATACCAATAAAAGCCGGGAAAAATTCTTACCTTTTAGTTATGGTAATCTAAAGTTTCACCTAGAAGATTTGAAGATAGGAAAAGAAACAGTAATGACATTTCAATATGACAGCACTGCTGTAAATTGTAAGCTGTTTTTCCTCCCCCTTAAAATTATATCAGATTTAAAGCAATTACAACTAGTTAAAAGAGCCATTGGTTGTGAACAACTAAAGATCTATTACTATCAAAAACAAGTTAACCACTTATAGTTAAGTTTTTTCAAAATAAACAAACCACACAACCTTTGAAAATAAAGCACTCTTTGGTGGACAACAGTTACTTTGTGTACTCAATACTGCGGCTTCATAAAAAACTTCATACAAAATAAGAAAGAATAGCCAGTTAACACAGGAGAGTACCAAGACTATAAGAAAAAAGCTTTTGTGGTTGATTTTCAGTCTCAAGTGGAGACTTGAGCCCAGTCTGAATGGACAACACAGATTTAAATATTTAAAAGCTCCCACCATCTTTTCATTTCTGGTGGTCAGCAGCTAAGTGATTGCCATCACAATTTATACACATGCATCATACATACTAGCAAGCCCTCTTTATAATAGAGAGCTTAAGTATTTACACCTGAGTCTGGATGTACACAGATTTTGTTGGTTTTGTTTGAGGAACTGTTAGTACATTAGGAAAGTGTCTACCAAGCATGTTGACAGTTCATTTTATTCTACAAGTATGGAAGAGATTCTTCTGTTTCACTTTTGCTGAAAAATGGAGCCAAAGTAATCTTCCTTGAATGGCATCAAGTCCCCTCTAGTCACATCCCCTTCATTCCTGAATATCTTCTTAACACTGGTTGCTTATTTGAAATTTAACGCAATACTGTTCTAGTCCTTGGGACGGATTGGCTGCTGAAATAAAACATTTGAGGGAAAAAGTTAAATATGGACTCAATATCTATTTCAAGCAAACATTTCTGGCAAGGTAAAATGAGCAAACAATACTTTAAAGAAGATAAAAGTCACTGCATTTAAGAACACAGCAATATTGGTTGTAAAGAAAGCATGGACTGGTCTGATCACAGACAATATGAAGAAAGGTTCCATTCCATACAGAAAAGCAACAGAGGATTTAAAGTACCACAATTTCATTAAGCGCATTTGCTGTAAAGCATTCCTTTTCTTTCTCTCCCTCTGAGGTATAAGACTGTGGGAAAAGTAGAAAGAATAGTAAAGAAACAATTTTTTTAAAGCTAGATTTAGATTACATATAGACAAGCTCTGAAATGCTGTGAGTAGGTTTCAGTGTTTGAACAAGGGTGCAGAAGGCTGCTTTACAACTCCCAGCAAAGCAAAAGCATACGAGATTTTTAAAGCATATTCCTCTTTGTTAGTTTTTGTGATATACCTCTCTGATTAAAGGAAGTAAAAGAATCTATACAATACAGTTTTCATACATTTCCCCCCCATACTCTTAGTTATATTTTTGTAGTAACTTGACCTGCTTTCCCTTAAGCACCTCTACCTACTAAAATTTCTAATCAACTACTTACTATATACATAACCCTAATTCTGTTATATGTGGTAAGACTGTTTCATTTGTGTCTTAGTATGATTCAGTTGGTTTGGATCTGATGTATGCACCCTGTTAAATTACAAACACGAACTTCTCAGTAATCGGCAAATTTACAAGGAAGACATCTTAACTGGAGAAACAAGGGCATCCACAGAGAAAGACTGTGGATAACGGTCTAGTAATGCGATTACTTGCAGTTCAACAAGAGTGTTATTTCAATCACAAGATATAATGTGTTATGTCTGCCAGTACTGGTTTTTCGTAGATGGCAGCTGACATCTAGAGATGTTCTGCAAAGGAAATGCGGTGAATATCATCAATAGGATTGAAATTCCCTAAATCCTCTTTGCAAAGCCAGAATAGAGTGTTTTAGCTGTAAATGGCTGTTTTGGCTGAAAAGTCATTCTGGAGGCATTCTGTGACAGTGTCTCCAACAGTCTGAGGGATGAAATGGCAGATGAATTACCCAGCTCTGTGGATTATACTGCGTTAAGATGGGTTGCAAATATGATTGATCTACAGTAAGAATTGACTAAAATGACCTAAAGCATCAACAAATGAGATTAATGTAAACATACTGCAAGATGTTTCCACTGGAACATATCAGACAAGAAAATGAAAGAATAAGAGTACACAGTAATGTCGGAAGTTCAGAGAAGGCAACAAGGTCTTGACAAAGACAGATGTTGGTCAGGGCATGACCTCAATTTTGTAATAAAAATTATTCTCCTCTACCCTGCAGTCCACTTGATCTGGAATAGGTCAACCAATCTGAGTACTATGAGGTAATGCAAACTCCACAGACTTCAAGAAACTAAAATAAACTTAGAAGAGAGGAAAAAACAAAGGGATGCTTAAAAAAAGAAAAAGTGAGGTTTTGCCAAATGCTACAGGAAAAAAAGAAGGACATCTACAAGATTAACAACAAGGTACTACGTTCTAAGCCCATGAAAATGTACAGTCATGGCGAAATAGCCTTTACAGGGACCAGCACCCAATTAGCCCTCTCAGATGACAAGATAATTAAGAACTCCAGAACTGTGACATAACTATTTAGGACAAATTTGATCATTGGACCCAAGCATAAAGTGACTGAAATTCTTTGACCTCAAAAGTTAGAACAAAAGGAACAGTATGTGGAAGGAAATATTTGGGGTTGAAATTTTAGAAAATCCATTACAATATAAAGTAGTTTATGAAATTTGAGATCAACCTGATCCTTGGTCCTCAGAGTCATAAATCTGACAATACACTTATAGGGTTTATTTCAAAATAACCGAAACCTTCTATGAACTCTATTTTAGGGATGTTGTTTCCTCTTAAGGGTAAGTATCCTCATCTCACAGAACTCAAAGGTCAACTTGCAGGTGTGTTTTCCAGGAACAGAAAATCTCTGTTCTATTACACATGTGCATGTATACAGCCACCAAACGTTGCACAGAGCTTAAAACTGGAAGAAGCATGAAGAATGATAACAGTAGGCAGAATCCTATCAATTCTGTTTGGACCAAAACTGACATGGTGAAAACGATGCAAAATGGAGGAAAAAACCAACCAACCAAACAGGAAAACCCTGAGAAATACCTCAGATTTTTAGTAAAACATGCATTTCAGGAAAAAAATATTATTTTTTAACATATTGTTATATGCATCAAAACGTAACTCATATAGCCACTGCTAAAAATTCTGACCAGAATTTACTGCAGTCTATTGTTAATTACTATTTCTGTTGCCTGATAGAGTGAATTTTTTGTAACTTCTGTTACCTTCAAGGTAACAGGATGAGGAAGGGGAAAGAAAAGCTCTGTGGAGAAGAAGCTGCACGAGAACTTGGATACATAACTACGTAGCTACACAACTACTTTTTATGTTATTTGCCACCTTTTACTCTTCCCAACACAACTAAGTCTCTTCAGCACCTGACAGATGCATTCAATAGTTTTTCACTATAAGTACAAGACAACTTCTGGTCAATTGTAACCACTTGCAATTTCTTGGAAATTGTTTTAAGCTACACTCTCAGGTTCATCTTTGATAATGACCTGGACAGCTCCCGTAGAGGGGCATGAACATACGCACACACAAAGAAACACAGTAGTAGTGTGGCCATATGCTTCTGGGCCAAAAGGCACTTTTAGTCTTGCATAAATCCATCCAACTTTAAAATTTAATTAAGCTTTACCATACAGGTTCAGTTCAGATTACCAGCCATACTCTCAGTACAAAATCTCATACTGGTATACACATGCATTTATACACTTCACCTCTCCACTACTACTGCATTTCAGTTGTCCATCAAATTCCTCTTCGTTTTATGTACTAACAATTGACTTAATGCTGTGAACAACTTTTCCACCTCTTACTCGAGGCAGAAGTTGGGTAAAGAAAGGTATTTTGTTACCAAAATACCTCACCTTCAGTAATTCTGACTCACATTAGGAATTACAATATAAAATTCTCAAAGTTGAAAGAATGAGCAACATAAACAAATTACATAAGATTAAATGTTCCAGATAGTCTCAGTACATGACATAAACCACAAAATTATTTCTCATTTCCCATTGCTACGAGAAGGAATTGAACTGTGGCTAAAACTCCTGTCAGCAATGGATATGCCAGCTTGAAGTATTTGCCTAGAGAACCGTTACCGAATCTGTAAAGAGAGTAACTCTCACCTTTTTAAACTGTTTTTTCTTGCAGCAGACCTGGTAGTTCTTTTAGTAATGTCTGTACTGTCAGAAATGCTAGGTTCAGAGGTTTTATTTTTCTGAACACTGGACTGCAGAATTACTCTGGAAAGAGTAGGAAAAAAGAAAGATTACATAATCTGAAAGTTTCTAGGAAAACACTGAAAAGAGGACATTACAGTTGCAGCAGAGCTAACAAGTATCAGCTGGCTTTTCACAAATCATTCTGAAAAGCAAACTGTTCTGCCTGAAACATATCCTTCTCTTTATAACATCCTTGTTAGAATTACGGTAATGCAAGTTCTTTTATTAGGAGCACAGCAGTTTGTTTTGTTGGTTGGTTTTTTTTTTTTTTGCTTTCAAAGAATGGTTTACATTAATAATTTTTAATTTCCTGTTAGGTTTTTGGAAGACAAAAAGCAAAGAAATTGTACTTTGAATTACTGCAACAAAACAGCAAAAAAGAGAAAATCTTAAGTATGTACAAGAACGAACATTATTTTCCACACTGACACAGAAAGGAATTTAGAAAAAAACCCAAGTAATTCAATTTGTGAAGATCAAAGTCTAACTGTCCTGCAATTATCCATGAGATATTCCCTTCAAATACAGTAGGCTAGGAAAATCATTGCCTATGCTAGCATTTTGCTCTTACAGGGATTTACTACACCATACTCAAAATTCAGCTTTACATGCTGGTTGTGATCAACTCTAGATGTGATCTAGGTTGTGATCTTCTCTAGAAGACTCTACAGCAATATATTGACTACTTCTTAAACAGGCAGGTAAATCCTAGTGTTGTTTAGGCCAGTAAGAAAAGAATTCCAGATTGTGAAATGCAAACAACTATTACAGCCACCAGCCAACTGGTTCATAGGGAAACCATGTCTTCTGTATTCCTAAATACTTGTAGTGAAATTATGATATTATGGAGACAAAAAGTGACAACTGTCAATGGACTCCACAGGTATCTATTTCATGCATCATTTTATAAATCTATTCCCTAGTCATTCGATTTGTGCAAGGTTCCAACTATAAAACTATGCATCATTTTAGAGATTCAGAGCTAAAAGCAACTCAGCTATTACTGGTTTTTGCCCTTGCTGTTATTAGAGACTAATTTTCAGTGGCTTCACTGAGTCCACCTGTGTCAGCAGATTATATTAGATTGGAAACCAAAACCTTCATTAAGTTCTATAAACTGCAGTCTGGTTGCTTAATACTCTGAATAAACTCTTTTCAAGGAATCCTAGATATGAACATAGAATGTAACTTTTTGAGCAAAAGTGGACAGGCATACATGGGAGAAAATACAAGTATTTTCATACTCATTTAACATACTCACTAAAAACAGAAATGGAAAAAAAACTCTATGCTTTCATTGTTTTATATGGGTTTGATACCAGAATCAGAATATGCATCAGAGACAACACAATTTCATCTGAAATAAATTCTTTACAGCAACAAAACTGATCAGCAACCTTATTTACCACATAGTTCTAGATTGTTTAGCAAACAGATTACTACAGACCCACGAAGTTCAAGTATTTTAAACTTCTACTTGAACCAGTCTCTCTTAATATTTCAGACTGGCAAAATCTTGTCACTTGCTTTGCAGAAGTCCAAACCAAACAGTCTTCTCTTCCTCCGAGATAAGATGCAAGATTACAATAGCAAGTACTATCAAAATGCAAAGCAAATTCTACTGTAAACACAACACATTCAAAGTCGGAGGAATTGGTTATTCCAGAGGCTGAAAACAAAAACCAGGTACCTTTATCATCATATTATGCCTCTGTTGACAACACATATTCTTCTAACAAAAATCTGTTTTCCTTGCATGCCCAAGGTGAAAAGCTTCAAAACCTGGACATTAATTTCAAAATTTCTATGATGCTTGTAAACTAGTTCTAACAAGTTCTAATATTAAAACTTAAAAATATCTTTTCAGTCCCACAGTTGTCATACAACATGGACAAATTTGGGATACTGCCTTTTCAACTAAGCTTTAAAAATGACACCAGTGGTGAAAAAATACTGGCATTGTACCTTTTATCTGTGCCACTAGCAACTTCCAGGACTGAACAGAAAGGTACAAAGCTGGTTTAACCTTGTAACATTTATTCAGTGAAATATAAGCATGACCAAATCATAGCACATGCTGGTTTATTAGTGCTTATGTAGACAGAAATATGGAAAAATCATGTTTTCTCCTTAAATATGTACATACAGTGTCTCTCTGCATAAAATGCATGTAATGTACATAATAAAAGAAAGCAAAAGTTATTGGAACATGATCTAATCGTTATAATCTTTCTCTTACAGGTGTACATTCTTTCCAGACACAAGAAGTTCAGAAAACAGGTCAGTGTACATGACTTAAATCCATATACTTATCCAATGTGAACGGAAACACTATGAAGTGTTAAGATACCATCTTACACAAACACTTAAATATTCATCTTTTCAACATATCACATGTAAGTCCTTACTTCCCACAGAATTTCATTTTATCTGTTCAAAACAAAGAAAGAAAAGAGGTTCTAAATGGGAACATGACTTACAAAAATAGTCACCATATATAAATGCACCTTAAAACCAAACCAACCACAACATCATCCTCTAAAGATTGCTGTATTTACCAAAGGGTAGGGAGAGAAAGAGCTAGCTTATGGGAATCAGCTCAGAGCCAGCTGTATGCATGGTAGAACCTTTAACATCATCTGCTTTTTAGTTGGTATGTCATTTTTACATCTCAGTGATACACAACTTCACACTGCTACTCAAGAGGAAAGGTTAATTGAAATCTCTGTGAACAAAACATTAGCTGAAGGATCAAACAGACATGTTTAAATCAGACTAAAATTCTAGACTTCCAAGGCTGATAGCACCTCAAGCAAAACAGACGAGGTCCAGTTTACACCATCGTCTGACATGATGTCACAACTAAACACCCAGAGCTGTCTTTGGGCCTGACAACTGTCAGCTTGGGAGCAGTAACAGTGCTACCAGAGCTTTTATTAGAATGCTACTGCACACATGTTTAAGGTAAGAGAAGAAACTCTCTTTAATGCATGGAATTTGGATTTAACACAATTAGACTAGCAGCCTCACTTGATAGCAGGTTCAATAGATAGGTTTTATAATGGACATGAGATGAGGCCACAGTGGAGGAAATCCTCCCAAAATCTCAGCATCAAAAAAAATCCTAAACTGTATTAGAGAAGGATAAGATCCTCAGGACACCTTTCTTACTGCTTTCTAACAGTTCATGTAAAATAGCATGTCATGCTGTACATAACAACAATGAACTTCCAGAAACAACAGCAGAAAGTGCATCTGATGTACACAAAGGTTTTCTTACTGAAATATGACTTTTTTGAAAAAAAAAAGAAAAACCAGAACATTTCCTGAACACTGCCTACAGAGTGGTGTAATAGCCACAATTCTAAAATAGGTAATCCATATATCGTAAGAATTTTTCATCTCCAGTTAATCTGTAATGGAGGCAACACTTGGTAGTTCTGAACCTAATACGCTCCTCAAACACCAGACTAGTTTATATACTACTTTCTTATTCAAGCTAATACATTGGCCTTTAAACAAATCAAAACCTCCTTAAATGGAACAGTATTTGTGTCAGTAGCACCATCTTTTAAATAGTTCACAACTTTTCTTCACCATTTAACTCAGAGCAGGGTTGGGGGCACAGGTATACCACCAGGACACAAAAGCCCAAACCCCACAACCCAAAATCCACAAAACTTGAAATGCCAGCAAGATAATACATCTTGGAGAGAAATCAATCTAAATAATAAGCTTTTTTAAAAGAAAAATTATTATAGTATCCTGGGGAGGGATGAAAGGAAGAGAGGTTACACAGGAACATGTCTTCTCTGATCTGCGATGGGCATTTTATTCTTGCCAAGGCTACCTCTTTTATGAGGTCTGTCAAATGCAATACTGCTTTCTCCTTCATCAGCTCATGATTTTTAGGAAAATAGGCCTGAGACCTCTCCCACTGTTGTAAGTCATCAATAGGCAACAAGTGACTGATACTTTTCACTCTACAGAGCTCCAGCCAACAAGATTGCCAGGCTAGCCTAGACAGATTCACAATACTGATTGATAATTTGATCTCTTATAACATGAGCCACTAGCTGCATAATGGAGAGAACGTCAGTCTAGCTTTTAAGAAAAGCTTAAGTGTTTTCTCTTCCTGGACATAAACCAACATTGTATGATTGTCAATTCTGGATATGAGGCAGCAGCACCAGTAACCTGATTGATTGCATCATGACAGATTTACCAATATCAAGCAGTCTTTGAAAAGCAAGGGAGTTTTCAGACAGAACACAGAAACCGTAAGAGAAAGAAAGGATGATAGTTGACTGAAATTGATCTTACAGTACAGGAAAACAAAGGGCAGATTGTTTCATTTTTTAAACCTGTGTTTTAAGTTTAGCTTTTTAGTCTGTGTTTAGAAATCTGAGGTCTGACTTCTGGAAAACACTGAGACAAGAAATTCTGCTACACTTGGTGTAAAACTTTGAAAAAAAGCATTTCATTTACGTATGTTCTTTGACAAAGTTAGGTACCAATGGGAAAAAAAAAGCTAAAGTGATCTTTAGTTCTTTTTTCTTTCTCCAAAAGAACAGGTTAAGATTAGCTAAGACTAATAGGATAACTAAGTTGTCCACAAGTCCCCCAGTTCACATTCTTTAGTTATTAGGTCATTTATTTTAGCAAAAACAATCCTATGCTTTTTAAAAGTCCAGACAAAAAGTTGCAAGTCCAAAGGCAAGAAGGACAGAAACTCTTAAGCTTAATGTTCTACAAGGAGAGAATACCTTGTCTTACTTAGTACTCTGGTGTAAAACACTTTTTCTGACCATTTTTTTTCCTCTGAGAGCACCAAAATTTCAAGTATTCACCTAAAGTAATCATTCCACTTTGAGGGTGGTTGTCGTGGAGCGGCTCCAGGGCGATACGGTAGCAAGGAAAAAGTTCCTGGTGCTGAAGTTTTGTTTGGCCAAAAGATGGAAGTTGTTGTTTGATGGAAACATTGCACCTTTTAAGTGGAAGTGAGGCACAGCAATCACTGCAGCCACTCTGGCAAAAGCAGACTGAAAACTGTACTCAAGAAACTAGTATGTTTTTAATGCTTTAGTCCTGAATCCAAGTAACAGAAGGGAGGGATTTAACTAGTCTCATAAAGCTCTATAAAAAAATAATTGAGAACAAAAGAAGATGAAACAAGATTGGCACGGTAAACAAGTGAGCCTTGACCTAATACTGCAACCTGCCTCATCTTCTACTATATTAAAAAGGAAAAAAGAAGTCCCATTTTACTGTCTCTGATGGTGTATACTACTATAATCTCTTAGTAAAAACAAAGACCTACTGACATTTCTAACAAATTCTAATTCCTGGCATTTCATGTGAGTAAAACCATCCTTTGGGAAACTAAGCTCCTTTGCAAGTTCATGAATTTCAAAGTAAAACTGGAGCTAACATCTTCATTTGCAATATGCAAAGGATAGGATCATATTTTAAAGTAGTACTTTTTCCTTTTTACAGCTATAGTTTTGCTTATTTGCAGGAGCAAGCAGACAAGAAAGGCTTCAAAATTATGAATTACCCTAATTATAAAAGCTCTGCAACTTTTTGTATTGCAAGCCAGCGATAAAAATCACTCAGTTATTCCAAATAATATATACAAAACCACAACAAAGCCAGAGCAGTGAAATTTACTCTTGCAACACAGCCAGTAAGAAACATGGTATGAAAACATGCATTTATGAGATGCAGTAGACAGAAAGTGTGAGCTATTGTAGAGAAATGGAATGGGACACTTACACAGTGGCTCTCTCTCAGGGGGTCCTGATGGTTAATATGTTCTTAAACCATCTAGACAGAATAGCAGGCTGGGCAGAAGGGAGCCACATACAATCCACCAGATGACAATGCTACACAGTGTAGACACCAGCATAGCTAGGAACCATCTAAAAAAGGGGTTGGAGGGGGAGGAAAAGATGAACAAAAATTCAAAAGCAAAAGCTATTGGTGCATTTTAGCCTGTTTCAAGTTCTTCAAAAGCATATTGCTCTATAACCTTTGCCAAGCATTTTCTTACTTTCTGCGACTATAACAATCCACGCAACCAAAAACTGCCGCATGTAGGATCCACGTGTTGCTGGAATCAAAGCAAATTTTCTGAACCCTGACTAAAGTCGTCTATTCCAAAGAAAGTCTGTATCACTCTTGAAAGTGAATTCATGCTGGAGGAGTACATCTGTGATCACTTGCTGCCATTTCTTATGCAGTTTGATCAGCCTGGTTCATACGTCCTACTTCACAATCATATGTGTTAGCACTAAACATTAGATCAGACCCAGATCAGTTTGTAGGAACAAACGCCTTAGGTAAACACCCAGATGATGGGGTATATTACCTTCCTGTGTTCAAAGTACCAAAAGATAATTCATAATCCTTTGCCAGAGGCACAGAATATTGCCAATTAGAAATATACAAAGTATCCATTCATCAAAGCATATAGAGTTTATAAAACCAACCTCGATAAACATTAACAAATGTTATGCAGAAATCCCTTGCAACTTAAACATAAGCAATGCCTCTAGCTCTCAAAGACCGTAGTTGTCGCAGCTTCCAGTGCTCTTATTTTGCCTTTTTTTTTCTGTTCTGTGAAAGAAAACTACATATAGGATTTAGAAGCTTCTTTTTGTTTGCTTAGAAAAAAACTAATCAATTTCACTGCAAGATTAATTATGTTTAATAGTCTGAACTGAAAGGGAAAAAGAATGACACCTCTTCTGGTAGGGAAGACTTCTGACTTATGTAGGGCAGCTAAATATTCCTAGTAATATTTTGGTTTAATAATGGTAACACACAGAATGTAAGAATGTACATTGTGTATCAATGTATACATTCATTTTTCACCAAATTATTTCAGTACAAGCTGCAAACCATACAAGTAACTCAGGGGAACAGGAATAGGGAAATTCCAACTCCCCACGCCACAATGCACACTATAAAAAACAACTATAAGCTCTAGATCAATTGTCTTAATTCTATAGAAGTACAAGCTAACTAGTCTTAATTATAGCAGTCATGTTGCAGAATGCTTCATGAATGGAAAAATATCTTAACAGTTGATAGGCATTCTGCGTATTAAGACAGTGGCTCTGAATAGATTATCATACAGACTACATTCATTCTATGGAACATACAATAAATGAGATTTTTCACAACCTTTATTATGTGCCTTAAAGTACCTTTTAGGAAAAAATATTATGAAGTGGAAACTTAAGGTACTATGTGCCTTAGACACTAATGTGCAAGGTAGCTGGTTTTTACTGTTCTGTTGGAGGTAACCGAAGTGATGTGTTTCAGGGTTTTTTTAATGTCACCTGTGTACAAGCTTTGTTCTGAATATGTTGTTTCTTATATGATTGCCTGTGTAATTAATGAGCATGAACAAAAGAGAATCTTTTAAAACAAAAGCAAAATTTATACATAACAATGTGTGAGGGTTTCCAAAGACATATTCCTTTACCTTCAGCACATTCTTACTACATACCTCTCACTTTTTCTAAAAGTCTGATGACACTGTTTGGTTTTTAAAAAAAAAAAAGAAAAAAGAAAAAGAAAGGCCAGCAGCTAGCAGCAGCATCCCCTACAGAAAGACAGCACAACAAAAGCCAAGTTGCCTTTGGTCTGTGAATCTGGTACTGTGCTACTTGCAAAAATCTGACAGCCAGAGGTCACCATTGCTTTCCTAGCAATCAGACGAAATCCAGATACGTCTCGCAAGTCTTATATTCTCTTGTAGATTATTTAAGGGCAGGCAGAAAGTTTTTCTACTTACAGTTGCTACAAGCTACAATAGATGCAAAGGTGACTACAAACTTTCTTTTACAGGTGGTGTTTCAGTACTTGTCTAAAACAAAGAGATTAGCATGCCAGGTTCTCTGACAGAAATGCACTCCTTTTGAATTTATTTACTGAAATAGTGCTACTCTCTGCCTCCCAGATCTACCAGACATTACCCCAAAGCCCACAGGATTTAGGGAAAGTTCGTCTCCAAGGAAGAAGAAATGCAAGGAAGCTAAAGATTCTTCTTTCAACTCTTCTTCTCAGGTAGCTGACTTTACTTCAAAAAAGAGCGCGTACTTTATTTCAGTCAAACACCACCACATGGGAATTATATTCTTCCATTTTTATACTACCACGGGAAAGACAAGAGAATGTTTGTGATTAAACTAAAAGTAAAGCGTTCAGAAATACTATGGGAGCTTGTAAAGTGCAGACTACGGGAATCAAAAACAATGCAGGAAACTAGAAACTGAGTAATGGAGTTCTTTAACCAAGTTCTCTTGCCTCCTTAGCACTCACCAAGCCTTCAGAGAAACAGTGAATCTCACGCTTGTTTTAAATGAGTAAAAGCAGCCTTCGCAACAAACTTTTGGGGGCAAAGGGAAATATGTATAAAGATGAGGATAGAAGTATTTCTGGCATTTACACATTCAGAAACTGACTTACGTTAGCGGAGATGCAGTTGGAGCTTTTGCCTGCCTCCTACTTTTCAGAGCACGAAGCTTATCACCTTGTGTTACACAGTTTGTTTCATCTTCATCACTGTACTGGATAAGTGGAGGTGGGGAAGAGATAAACCAAGATTAAAATATAGGCACTTAGACATTTAAGAATTAGCCTTATCTTAAATTTTAAAGTTAGAATTATCCCAACAGCAAAGTTTGCCAGCTTAAAATCAAAGGAAATTCACTTGCATAAATACAATTCTGTCCTTTCCAGTTTCCTGTTTGCTGCTTTTAAAGCTGTAAACCATTAAGCAGTGTCACGAATTACATGCAACAGAATGTTGTCTACCTTTAAAACAGTGGAACCATATTATCAAATCTTTGCTTATGTACAGTACAATCTTCACTCAAGTACAGCATTTCCCTCCTTCACTTGCCTTTTTAAAACAGCAGTACTGTTTTTTTAAAAGGCAGTATCAAAAGGTTTTATAGAAGTTGCAATTACTTAGAAACTAAGAACAGCAAAAAACCTTTCATCCCTTCCCTTTAAACAAACACAATGAAGTAACAGACAATCGAAAACAAAACCACAGTGTTTTTGATTGCAAGTCGTGAGTACTTTTTTGTTCTAATATTTACCTAATTACTAAAGACTAAAGAATGATAAGGATGCTCCTACTTCACCTGTGTACTACACTTCATTTTCATACTTGCTGTCCATACCTTTTTCCCCCCCATACCCCTTGATACAAAAAGGGCAAACAGAAAAAGAATCTAAATAACACAGCTTTAGTGTACCCACAGGTTTTTTCAGAACCTGAGACATTCTCAACAGCAGTTACAATGTTTACAAAGCACAATATTTGGATGGTTACCAGTTCAATGTCCTTTCGGATAGTCCTCCTGTTTCTTGTGTCATTAATTGAAATATCATCTACTCCTGACAGAATTCTTGTTACAGCAATTTTACGGTTTCCTTTCAACTTTGCACGGAAAATATCTCCTTCTGTCCAAAGTTCTGCCTGTTTGCTATCATAACATGGAAAAAAAAAGCCCAAATCACAACAAATTAACACCAAAGATTATTACGTGTACCGTAAAAGAAGAAGAAAAAGACAATTTACAGTAGTCTACTTACTCCATCAGGAAGTGTTGTTGTGGTCCAATCACTGAACCAGGTCTATTTATTCTAATCCAGGCAATAGTTTCAGCAGCTGTCATCTGATAATGCTTCATGATATAACAGGCAATAAGTGTGCCAGTTCGTCCAAGACCAGCTATGCAAGACAAAGAATGGCTTCTTTTATATACCCATCTTTATCTGGAATCTGCTGTAGCTACAGACATTGTTACTTAGACAAATAGTTACTTGCCTGGCTTATTAAACAAACCTGTTACTGATCAAACTTGGTAAGTGCAACTTATCTTTTGAATTTTTTTTCCATATACAAGGTTACTAACACATTGTTCACATGTTTTTTTACTGAGGTAACCTTCCAAAGCCAACAACGTTACAAGTATCTATAGGTCTATCTATCTTTATTTACCTGTCTATATACGAATATGAATATAGGTATGAGAACGCTTTTCTGCATTGGATGGAACAGCTGGCTTTTTGCCAAAATTCTCAAAGCACCTTCTTGCAAACTGATCATACATTGCACTGAAACCAGTTGCTCTTCCAATCCCTCCTCTAACTAATCTCTTTCTTTAGCTCCCAAGGAAAACACAAATTTTGCAATAAGCAAGTCTGGATACAAGCCAACACAAGCAAAAAGTACTCTAGAATGAGGAACTTTCTTTGCAATGGCCCTCAAAACAGTTCTATTTGCCTTGGGAAACATGAGAAGAAAAGGATGACAGCTCCAGCTAAGTGCCTCCTCCCTTTGATCACTTGCTGTAAATGTCAAACCACACATGACCGTCTCTGATTTAACAATCAACTGACCAACACCAATGTAAGATCTTCAGTATAGCCCAATAGCCAAGACAACCACATACCACTTTCCATGCTTCGCCCAGATTTCAGAACTGGCTACAGCATTCTACACTTTCTCAAGAATAAGAGCAGGATGAGGAACATAAGCTAGTCTAGACACCATTAGTATGATAAATATCAAAGAACATCTTAATTTGAATGAAAACAAAGCACTTGTACCACTGATACTCATAATTCAGGCATAATCAATTAAGCGATATGCCCGAATTTATCATCTCAGTGGACAGTAAGAGTATACATTTGCTTCCTAACAGTCAAGATGCTGTTTTTACCAATTCTTCCACTTCAAAGTATAATCCTGTTGAACATGCAGCAAACGGATGGCAGATCCAGGAACAAAAATGCAGTCTTTGCAGGTCCCAGGCAAATGAATTAAGAAAAGGCCCTTCTTCTTCAACCACAGCATTATCAGGCACAGTAGCGAGGAAAGTTTGCAGAGAACAAATGTCTGACAGACTATTAAAGATGGTGTGGGCAGGGAAAACAAAGTTCCACAGAAAACTGTATCTTTATACTCATTGCACTAGGCACGCTCTGAGTATCTTCTCCTTGACAGTCTAACTCTGGAGAAACAGATATTCAGAAAATGCCCAATGTAGCTAGTATACAGGGTTTCTGAGGGATAAAGACTTCTGTGGCTCTGGAAGAACGCTCATACTTTATGGGGAACTTTAAACTAAAGTTCCTGCATGATGGGAACCTCAATCCATCACACTCCTAGCAGTTTGAGGCCACCAACACATGCCCAGAAGCTGGAGAGGGATAACAGGTCAGCAGGAGAGCACCTGAAAAGCACCACAAAGGAATCCCAGCCACTCCAGCCAGTAAGTCAGCTTCATTAGGGGGCCAACTTAAATGCCTCTATGCAAATCCTTGTAGCATGGGGAATAAACGAGTTAAGAGATGTGTGCACACCTGCAGGGCTCTGATCTTATCGGCATCATCAAGACGTGGTGGGATGGCTCCTGTGACTGGAGTGTTGGAATGGAAGGATCAGGCTTTTTTGCAAGGAGGGGCAGGGGAGACAAAGAGGGGCTGTTGTCCTCTATGCCAATGAACAGCTGGAGTGCATGGAGCTCTGCCTAGGGATGGATGAGGAGCTGACTAACAGCTTATGGGTCAGGATTAAAGAAAGGGAGGCAGGGACAGGTAAGATTATAGTAGGGGTCTGCTACAGGTCACCTGACCAGGAAGACCTGGTGGATGAGGCCCTCTATAGACAGATAGGAGCAGCCTCACGTGCACAAACCCTGGTCCTCATGGGGGACTTCAACCACCCCAGTATCTGTTGGAGGTATAACACAGCAGGGCACAAGCAATTCAGGATGTTCCTGGAATGCATTGATGATAACTTCGTTCTCCAAGTGACAGAGGACTCAATGAGAAGGAGTGCTGTGCTGGACCTTGCTCTCACCAACAAGGAGGGGCTGGTGGGGAATGTGAAGCTCAAGGGCAGCCTTGGCTGCAGTGACCATGGAATGGTGGAGTTCAAGATCCTTATGGCAGCAAGGAGGGTGAACAGCAAGCTCACTACCCTGGGCTTCAGGAGAGCAGACTCTGGCCTCTTCAGGGAGCTGCTTGGTAGAAGAGTACCATGGGATAAAGCCTTGGAGGGACAAGGGGCCCAAGAAAGCTGGTTAATAGTCA